ATTCTCCCTGTGGATCATTTATGAAGATGATTTCCTCTTAAGCTGTACGGTTCAATTGGAGAAATGATTTTATACAATAACAGTGTTAGTTTAAATAGAATTTTGGTGATTAAGGGTTTTTAACAAATGTAGTAAAGGATTATAATAGAGGTTAGTTTAATGGGAAAATTAATATAAATAAAGGTAAGATACAGTATTGCCCCACCTCTGATAAAGCAGGGGTTGCAGAAGATAGAAAATATGACCAAGAAAGTGTCACACAGCCAGGACTTATGAGTTGCTCCTGAGGAGCCGTATAAACTACAGTTTAGGTTAGTGACTATGAAAAACAATTAAGTCCCAGGAGTTAACTCAAGTTCTTTTCGAAACTGGGAAATATTTTCACAGGATTCAGTGTGCATCATAGCTAAAACAAAGCTTTAAACAATTGACTTACTGTAATAAAAAAAAGATTGGATAGTTAGTTAAGATAATTGGACAGAACTGTAAAATAAGGATACTGAGACTACTAACCGTTTTTTCTGGCAATTATAAAAACTTCTGCCTATGTAGATAGTTTTGACTGAAAGGCTCCTGATCTATGAGAAGTCTAAAAGATAAATGTTTAACTGTATGAAGGTTCTTGGGGACAATTTGTTTTTCACCTGTAATTTGTAAAATGTTTAATCATGTAAGGGAAATGGGAAACATGATGTTTTTATTTGTATTCATTGTAATCATTCACTTAAAAAATGGAATGTAACCGCATTTTAATTTTTATGTTGCTTAGAAGCTTGGGTACAAAGCTGTAAGGAAAAAATAAAGAAGTTAGAAGGAAGTCATCAGAAGTTAGAAGGAAATCAGAAGAAGGGAAACATCAGGGTAGAAGAACAGAACCAAAAGGAACAGCAGAACAAGGACAGAAGGAAAATAAAATGAAGAAGCAGCTTTGATCCCTCAGAAAAAGAAGTCTGTGTTTTTCCTCACCTACTCTGCATCTTGTTCCCAGTCTCTCTGACCTGCAGGAGGCTGGACCCCCAGCAAGGCCTCCCCTCAGGAGGGTGAGTCCCTGATGCTCCAGCGGGGGAGGGGCTCCCACACATCCTGCCACAGTTCCCAGTCCCAGCAACCCTGCATCGTGAACCTGTGATGTTTAGTGCTTGTTTACTTGACACAGACCCAGACATGTGTGGGAAGAGGAACCTGAACAAAGGAAATCCCTCCCCCCACACTGCCTTTAGTCAAGTCTCTAGGGCTCTTTCTTTTTAATGACTGATATAGGACTGCCCAGCTGACTGTGGGCGATGCCACAGCTAGGCAGTGGTCCTGGGTTGTATCAGAAAGTAGGCAGAGCAAGTCACGAGGACCGGGCCAGGAAGCAGTGTCCTCATGGTACCTGCTTCAGTTCACACCTCCAATCCTGCCTCCAGGTCCTGCCCTGAATCCCTTTGATGATGGACTGTGATGTCGAAGTGTAAGATGAAATAAACCCTTTCTCTACCACATTGATTTTGATTATCAACTGAGGGGCACATGGGCCTCACTCTGCTCCCTGCAGGCAGCACCCTCTTCTCAGCTCAACCCCACCCCTCCCTTGTACTGAACCAGCACCCATGAGCTCACAACCACCTGTACAGCTCCAGGGCATCTGATAACCTCTTCTGACCTCCTAGGGTGGCAGGTACCATGTGTTGTACGTACCCGCATGCAGGCAACACACATACATCAAATAAAATAAACCTTTTTTAAAAAAAAAGCTAAGAAGTGTTATTTTGTTGTTGTATCACACCTAAAGACATTGAACATAAGGGCTCTTCTGTGACTGTGAAGTTGGATGTTTCTCTCCATTAACTTCAACCAAAATGGTGATTAAAACCAAAGAAGACAGGGAAATCCAGCAATCTTCTAACAAAATGGACAAGAAGAGGACACAGAAAAACATAATGTGCTAAAGGATCCATTCTTCTCACACTGTTGTTTGATTTTGGAAAATGGTTATTTTTCAGATTAAACTTTTTTTCTGTTAATACACAATACATAACTATTTAAAAATTAATTTTAGTCGGGCGGTGGTGGTGCACACCTTTAATCCCAGCACTCGGGAGGCAGAGCCAGGTGGATCACTGTGAGTTCGAGGCCAGCCTGGGCTACCAAGTGAGCTCCAGGAAAGGCGCAAAACTATGTAGATAAACCCTGTCTCGAAAAAAAAATTAATTTGGATGGACTGGAGAGTTGGTTCAGTGGTTCAGAGCAAGTTTGAAGGGAAAATTCTCATCACTACTGATGTCTGAAAAGAGAAAAGAGGGAGAGCTGTGAGAACCAGTTGTGATCTGGGGTCTGGATTCCCAGACAAATCTAGAACAGGCTTTCTGCAACAGGATGAATGCACACTCTGCCCCCGACTGCCCCCAGCATCCTGCCCCTTCTTCTCTCCTTAGACTCTCTGCAGGGACAATGTCAGGGTCTCAGATGCTGCAGGCGGGGCTGGATGGCCTCCCTTGAATCCCTTGGATTTTCTTCTGTGATTCTTGGTACCACCAATTACAGCCAGACCATGCTCTGGCCCCCTTGAGTACAGTGGACCTGTCGATGTGCCTCCATTGTCCCAAAGAGGTACAGATGCTCTCTCACCCCTCAGTGAATCCCCATTCTGCATCATCCATCCTGGAACCACCCCAGCCTCCCTCCGCCCCCGCCCCCGCGAGGGCGCGCGCACACACAAACACACACACACACACACACACACACACACACACACAGTCCATCTTTTTTTTTTTTTTTTTTTTAGATAGGGTCTCACTATGTCCCCCTGGCTGCCTGATCAGGCTAGCTTTGAACTCACAGAGATCTGCCTGCTTCTACTTCC